CCCTGTTAGTAAAGGCCACTTTACAGCTTACATTAGAAAACGGCCCTTAGTCTTTTAAATAGGCCACAATCAAAAAATTTAGCCATACATTTAATTAATGCATTCCACATTATTTATTTGTTTACTTAAAAGGCAAAGAACCAGCCTTGCGTTCTTTCACTGAAATCCAACAACTACTCCAGCAAGGCAAAAAGCGAGAGGTGAAGAGTATTCTGCGAGAGAATTCATGGCCCATCAACTCACCCATACGTGCACAACTGTGGCCAGCACTATGCGCCCAACATCAGACGAAACAGAATATGTTGGATGGTTTCTACTGGGACATGGTGCATCAGGTGAGTGGGTAGGGGGGGGGGGGGAGCATTTCAATTCAATTACATTTGACTTGCTTAACCCAGAGTAGTCAACTTAAATAGTCGATCGTTATCATCTTAATTTCTATAAGTAACAACAATACAGTTCTAGTATACACTTTTTGGTTTATGTTTCTTTTCCTTCATTACAGGTCTTCGGCACTACAGAGCTCTCTGAAAACCCGATTATGTTACCCTCGTTCGTCGATCCCGCTCACTGTTTAACCTTTCACCTTACTCGCACCGGACGCGCGGTGGCCGATCGTATTGTGAATGTATTAGGCTATGATTGTCCAGATATTACATACAGTCCAGTATTGTATCCGATTACATCGATTCTGTTGCATTTCATGTCGGGTGAGTAAAAAAAAAAAAAATATAAAAAAAATGTGGCCAGATGCTTATAATACAAATTTGTAAAGAGTGTTATGCCCAATAAGAACTTCTTAGTTGGACAACAAGTTTTTTTTTAACAAAATGCCTACTCATTACAATACTAAAAGATTTGCTTTACCGTTCCCTTCACATGTTTACCTTTTCTATTTTACTTTTGATTATCAACGAGGAGAGATTACTTAATTTATTAATTTATACATGTAGTTTATAATTGTCCCCTTTTCCCTCTGGTTTGCTGTTATTAATGTTCCTGTTTGCCATTCCAATTGTTTGTATAATTCACGTTTTCTGCGCATTTTGCACAGCTGCTCTTGCTGTTGATGTTTATTTTGTCGTAACGTTAAAATTAGTATTACAAATATTTAACTGTTTAAAAATACTCTCCTCTATTTAGTTTCTACGATTTGTTTGTACGATACATTCAGTGTGTCTAAAGGCCGGAAAAATGTATTCTGTTAGTTGAGCGCTGTTTACAGTTTTATATTTATCACTTGCCTTAAAGTTTACTCTTATTCTTGATACTTTTACTCCGTCCAAGATGGCAGTGGCAGTATTAGATTTTTGAACACAAATATTTGTTTGTATTTTATATCTAAACCTTGGTGTGTGTTTTATCAATTGTTTATAATTTGTTTGAATTAGAGAGAGTCCCACAGTTTGAAGGGAAGTTGTATAGGAAAATTTGTTTTACAGTCTAGCTCCTCCTAAGCGAACTTCTCTAAAGCCAAGATCCCCAAGTTTCTTCAATCACACTTGCCAAACGTCACTTTCATAAATAGTGTCAAATTGATTTCGAGGCAAAATTGTGTTTGTTGTTTTAGCAGCATTGGCTGTCATTCGCTGTCATTCGCCCTCCCCGTCTAACTCATCCAGTCTGGTTCTTAAGTTGCGTACGGTTACCCTTGGCTGGGCCCACAACGTTTGAGGTGTCGAATGGTTGGGCTCATTGGGCGTGCAGAGAGGTTCGTGCTGTTGTTCGGACCATTCCTCAGGCTAGGGATATGTCTACTATCTCCGGATCAATCGCGGTTCCGTAAGAGTTCAGCCTACTGCATCAGCATGGCCAAAGTTAGGCTAGGGATGAATATTGCGCATGCTCAGCTACATACCAGCCACATAACGTGGCGTAGTGGTATCGTTCTGTAACCTAGGTTATGGTTGAGGAGGTTTGTTTTATGAAAGCCCAACAGAATCTGCTTAGCGGAAGCATATTACCATAAGAAGTTTTGACTCCCACATTTCCGCCTCATCGTGAAGGGGGTCATGGCATGAGGCACGGGGAGGCACCTATTCGAGCTTCGAAGATCGATGTTGTGAGTCCAATGAATGTCGCTGGTCCCAATCATCCACTCTGAGGCAGAGTAGTTTAGTAGGTAACTGACACCCCAGCGCATCATGCTGATGGGAAGCGAGGACTTGATGATGTATTAAAGCAGAATAGCGTAGTTGACCATTTCGATGGTCTTGCATAGTTATGTAGGTATGTATCAGAGAGAGTATGATCAAACTGAGTATAAGATATATCTATCATACTCATACTTAACAACATGCCTGACGCGCGCAAACTTCAACTCTCCTTGGCTTGATGTGCAAAGAGCTGAGGGAAATAAGTAGGATTTATGAGTACGCATGTGTAGCCGTGTACAATGTACATTGTACATGTATGGAATAAAATAATAACACCCACCATCGACAAAATTTTTTTCGCATACATACATAGTTGTAGAATGTATGTATATGCATATGTATAAATATTGTATGTATATGTATATAAGAGCCCTGTTACACGATATGTATTTGCATATGTAAATGCTACTTTTTTGTATCTACTCGTATGTAAATACATACCATATATTAGAACGTATCAGAAAAGTAACATTTGTTAGGTACTCTACTTCAGGTGCATCTAGATAGATTATTGAGCACTAACAGAAAAGCTTGTGAAATTGAATTCGATAAATTTTCTCGATACTGACCCGATCGATTTTAAGTGCTCAATATAAGTATTCGTTAAAAACGTTTGTCTTTATTATAAACTATAAAATCGGTAGGCCTAGTTTGAATATGAGTTTCGCGTCCATACGTGATAAGCAAGGGGTCACCTCCAAAAGCTATCTCTTTTTTAATAAAAAATCTTCGTAGATACAAATGTATGTATTCAAACGAGTTCAATTCAGGCATGACAAGTTTCATTTGGAGTAAGCCGGTTTTCAAGCAACTTTCCACTGAAGTGCAACTACTTTTATCAGTTAACATTTGTTGTTCTCTCCAGGGGCGCACCCAGGAATATATTTTAGGGGGGGTTTTATATTTCTGAAGATATATCACCGGAAAATACTGAAAATTTTCTTCAGATAATACGCTCTTTAAAATATATTTATGCAAGTTTTATTTACAGTATGTAATAAATAAATAAACGTTTTAAAATTCATAAACTGCACTTTGTTTACATAAGATTAACAGAACTCAAACACTTTTAACCGACTTTAAAAAAAGGGGAGGTTATCAATTCGCCGGAATACGTAACTTTGGACCACGTGAACCGATTTCAATAATCATTTTTTTGTAGAAAGATGGTACCTCAAGGTTCGTCCCGTAATTTGGTTTAGAGATCCGATGATTGGATCATGAAGAAATTAACGGTACCCCTAAATTTGAATATAAGAATTGAAGTCCGTTGTGTTCTTTCCTTAAAAACTACTTGTTTAATAAAAAGTGCTATAAACTCAAGATGCGCTCAACTCTCAAAAGTACCTAAGAAAAAATTTTAAATAAGACTCAGTAATAATTAATTTATTGATTCCATGAATTTTTGCACTTTTATGTTCCTTTTTTCGATTTCTGGTTTCTGGCTTTCGATAGAGATGGTGATTTTTCACGATTTCTAATTTTTTTTTATATTTCGAATACCGAAAAAATTAACTGAACTCTCAAGAAAAACGAAAAATTCATATAAAACGACGGACGAGAAATGGAAAAGAAATTTTCTTCTACCAAAATTTCTTAAATCAGTTGCAGCTCTCAAGAAAAAAATGCTCGTATATTCATTTCCTCATGAAAATTTACAGCAAAAGCAAAGCGCTTTTTCAAGCAACAGAAATTATAATAAATATTTCTTATAATTTGCTTGAGAGCTGGATTCTTAGCTTTAAGATACAGTTTGTATTTGAGGTTATTAGCTTGAGGGGGGGTTTGAACCCCAAAACCCACCCCTTGTGTGCGCTAATGGTTCTCTCATATAAAATCAGTATTAATTTACTTATCACTTGAGTTGTATTAGAAACATTTTTCTGCTGCCATTTTTGTTTTTTACTGAATAGCAAACACTTAAATGTTTTTATTGGCACATCATTAAAATTTGCAATATGCATTTAAACCTTTAAACAAAGGGTAAGGCTGACTTCCAAAACGTCAATTGCTTTGCATACGTACAAAGTTTAATGTGTGTGTGTGTGTAAATTTAAAATGAAATGTCTTATTGAATTTTTCAAAGGTACAAGAT